TTTTAAATTTCTAAAATTCTATGGGATAATTGAACTGTTATGAGCTATGTTAGGATTTGTCAACCAATACAAATTGAAGAGCTACTTGATAAACTTATTTATGTAAATATATTTTAAATTGGAAAATACATATCTTTAATATTTTTTTCATGATGAAAATAAAAAATATATACATATTTATGCATGTTTATTAAAAAAAATTAGACTTGGGTAAAAATTTATTTTATTAATATTCAAATTTATTAAATTAATATTTAGATTTATTTTTGTATGAAAAAAAAAATAATCCAAGACCAAATTGAGCTAGATACACCATGATAAGTCATGTTATAACCCTATGCTCGGACCTAACTAAGAAAATTTATCTATCAATGAGTAAACATTCGGTAAATAATTAGTTAAAATTATATAATAATTTTGTAGGTTGTAACAAGCATGTATTAACTTAGGAGTGTTGCAACTGGATTACACACTAAACCAAACCAAATCAAATCAAACTAAATCTTAAGTCCCGCTATATAAATTTTCCTTCTCTAAGCGACTCTATTGTATATCATTATTCTCCTGAATTCCGTTATTGAAGAATTGTTACTTGATGGTCAATCAATGCGTTACTTGTCTACTTATTTATTTATTTGTATTAAATTGTTATATATATATATATATATATTTGTTTTTGCATATTTATTAACCTTTTAAAATTTAAATTATGAAATTTATATATTTATTCTTAAAATATAACTAATGTTTATTTTATTAATATGAAGGTATATTTACGTTTGAAAACATTATCCAATATTAGACCAGGCATGTGCTATGCTTTTAGCCTAAAACTTACTTAAGAGAAGTGCAATGTTAATTATTAATTTAAACTTTATATTTAAAATTGTAAGTTTTAATTTCATGTTTTCTTAAGGGGTTTTTTTTTTAAGGTCCTTGATATTATGATTTTATAGCATAAAGGACATCAAATATTTTTATGATGTCTAAGGTCCATCAACTATATTTTCATAATGTCTAAGGTCCCTCAACCTTGATCCAGAGAAATTTCAGTCCAGAGAAAATTGGTCCAGAGAAATTTCAGTCCAGAGAAAATTGGTCCAGAGAAATTTCAGTCCAGAGAAAATTCACATTTTATATATATATATATATATATATGTTCAAATTTTATAAGGATAAAATTACATTTGAAATATTGTTTTAAATTTTTTTTAATTTCAAATTAGATATGACTTAGATTTTGATAAAAGATATGACTAAATTTCATTTTTTGACTTTTTATATAAGAATTTTGAAATTTAAAATTATAAATATAGAATAGAGATATAGATAGTAACGATAATAGACACCATAAATAGTTCATAAATTAATGAATTTAAAATACTTTTCATATTAACAAGGACTTAATTAAAATATTAAAATAGAATAACCAATGATAATATGCCATGTGTACTTTTATAATTTTTTAATTCAAAAATTTATGAAAATAGAGTGAGAATTTTGAGCTTCAATGAATCAATAATGTTTTTGCTTATATTATATAGTATAGATAAGTGTCAAAAAATCTAAAATTCAACCCCAACAATAGCAAATGGTTACATCATACACATCAATAAATTATTTTTTTTTATCATAACTTTTTATTCAACTAAAAAAACAACTGTATTAAAAAACACATTTTCTATCTGTTTGACTTGGAGTTTTGAAAAATAATTTTAAAATTTTGAATCCGTATTATTTTTTGTTTTTAATGATTTTTTTTAATATTTTAATCAATTTTCTATTATTATTATTATTATTTAGGTTCACTTATATTGCAAAACTTGCACACACAAAAAATTTATATTTAAAAATTCACTAGATACGAAAAATATAAAAATTCAATACATTTTCATATTTATTGATTTTTTTTTTATAAATTTCTTCACAAATATTTTAATTTTTAAGTATATCTAGTCTTTGTCATTTTTTCACAATCTATTTTAATTTCTTCACTATTTACAACTCGTGTTGTCACATTCCGGGAGATTTATTCCGATCATATTTTGATAATCAGAACCGTTCATATTATAAGATTTGTTGAACATATCATTTACATAAAAAATGAGATTAATCAAATAAGTATAAACCCATGATCAAATCCTAATTACTTTTTAAAAAATTATCAAAATCGTACTAGCTATTTATTTTTCTTAAACATAAAAGTGATGTTGTTATGAGTTATAGATGTCTAATTAACTTAAAAAATTTCATAAATGATCTACTCGACAAACCCTACAGTACAAAGGGTTCAAATTATTAAAATGAAGGGTAAACTATCAATACATCAAGTCCTATTGAAAATAAATTCTAATAAAATAGTTACTAAAAATAATTTTTTGTAATGATTTTTGCATGTTGCTGAAAGTTGACAATTAGTGACTTTTTTTGTCACGATTTTTACAAATTATAGCTAAAACTTACAATCAGTGACTTTTTTTATTACGAATTTTTCAAACTGTCGCTGAAAGTTGAAAATTAGTGACTTTTTTGATGATTTCTTAAACTGTCACTAAAATTTATAATTAGTGATATTTTTTGTAATAAAATTTTCAAACTGTCGTTAAAAATTAATAATTAGTTATGTTTTTTATTAGTGTTTGATGAAAAATGTATTAAAATATCATAAGACCTATCTGACAATAAATCTGCCTATTATGACCTACACGTAAGTACTTTAAAATAAATTTGTGACACACCTTCATGGGCTTTGTGTTGTTCCTAGAAGGTACAACGCCAACCCAAGTCAAGATTAGGCACATCTAAAAATTAAACAATATTTAATTAAAATATGAAATTTGTTTTTTTACTTAAAATAACAAAATATGAAAATAAAAAGTGAAATCCATTAAAACAACAGATAAGTGACATGCATTAATATCACAAATAAGTATAAAGAATTATTAAGAGTAATTATTATATCAAATTTCAAATCTGCTAAATCTAATCTCAAGATAAATTGCAACTTTACCTAATTAATACAGAACCCTTTTTAAAAAAATGATGTACAAGCTCACTTTTAAAATCTATTTTTTAGATCCAATGATATATAAGTGAGATTATTGACTAATAATTAGAGCAAATATAAGGGAGACAAATAGTACATGAGAATGATTAGTTAGTTGATCATTAAACTTGAAAAATGAATCTAATTTTTTGATTAGAATAGCATTACTCCTTTCCTTTTTGGAGGTTAGGACTTGCCCTTTCATAGGTATCAAATGAATTGTGTTATTTTACCTTCAAATGAGATTTTTAGTGGCTCAAAAAATTGCATAATGCCCAATTGAAGATCATATCATTTAAGGAAAGAAAAATGTTTGGGGGCCCTAATTCTGTGGCTCAAATGTGGCTTAAATGGCGCCATTTTGATGTTGTTTTGTACTCAAAACGACGTCGTTTTGGCCATTTGAGCCACATTTGAGCCACAAAATTTGGGCCCTCTACCATTGCTCTTAAGGAAAATGATTTACAAATTCACTTTATAGACTCAATCATGTGTAAATAAGATGATCGGTGGACAATTAAAAAAAATATTTCAGATAGATTTACTTTAGATATTTTAATATATTATCACATCATTAAATTTAAAAAAATAAATCTAATTGTTAAACTTGAATAAAACAACTCATCATCTAATAGTTTGAAGCTCAATTTAACGCGCCTTAACATGTTAAATGATATGCCATGTGGTTGATTAAGCTACCAATTTTTATCTCTAAATAAAAGGACACATCCCATTTAAAATAAAAAGTCAAAAATAAAAGGACACATAATATTATAATAAAAAAAATCATAATAAAGGATTTTGTACACTATTATTGTGTTGTCACATTCTATCATTTAATAATCATAATAAACTTAATCAATTATAAGTAAATCCACATTTTGAAGACACCAAATGAATAACGCTGCACTTGGTGAGGTGAACTCTATATATTGTCATTTAATATTTTATTATTTTTATATTATTTAATTTTTTATACTATGTCAATTTTAATGTGATGCAATTGATATGAATGTGAAAAAAAAAAAAGAAAAAAAAGAAAGAAATCATAATATGATCCGATTCGAGTCAAATTGTATGATTTGATTGGTTGTCACAATTTGGTCTTACTTTTTAAAAGAGGTGAATCGAATTTTACAGATTGATTTAGGATTTTAAAATTATGATCTTAATTTGGAATTGAATTGGATCATGTAGATATATACATATACAGTAATTCTATGGTTCCAAGAAAGGGAGCCACAAATAAAAAAATAAAAATACAAATATGAAATCTAGGACTGACATTTGAAATTAGTGTTGTGGACCCGTTACCTTAAGTAAATCTAAATGATTGATATTAAATTCTGAATATTTTCTAATTTTTTATGTTTGGGATTGTAGAATTGTTCATACATATACATGTGCAACAGTTGTAATGTAAAATGATTTAAATTGAAGAAAAGTAGGATATAACTATACTTACAAGCATGTTGATGTATACTAGTAGAACAAGTTCTAAATCATTTATATAATTTTTGTTTAAAAAATGATGACATGTTATTTGATATTTCAATAGGTCGAGAATAATGTTACATGAGCTTGGGTTGTGAATGATGAAATGTTTTTAGAAGCCGTAATTCTGATTCGAATTGTATGAGTTTTATTGATACTATTTGATTTTGTTTTAAAAAAATTTGTTCTTTTAAGTTAATTTTATATCTTACAAAACCGCAATCAATGATTTAATCATTAATTTTTTCTTAAATCATATTAAATCAAACAAAAAAACTTGGGTTTTAAAATTTATTCAGAACGAATATGTGTGGTGAAAATTAAATTGATGAAATATGAAATTAATAAATTTAACCATTAATTCTTATTTTTAAAATATCGTGAATAAATAATTTTAAATTTATAATCTTTCAGTAAATCAAAACATGCTTACCCCATAAATTGATACCATGATGCACATCAAACATAAAACTATCTATTGTAATGACGCGGTGAACAGAGAGGACAACTATGTTGGTGAAGTCTATACAAAATTTAAATTAAAGAAGAACAAACACAAAAAAAAAAAATACAAAAATACAAAGACAAAAAGACAAAAAGTAAAAAAAAAAAGGTGGTGGTGGAGATGGAAGAGATGCTTCCTATATCTCCTTCGTCCCATTTGGCAGACAAAGATAAAAAAGCGGAGTCTGGAAAATCCAAGCCTCCCGACTTTAGCGGCCGCTCAACAACCACCTCCGTCGGCGGAAGAGGTGGATTTGGCGGCGGAGGAGGTGTTCATGGAGCCGGAAATCGAGTCGAAAACTTGCCGCCGATGTCATACCTCGAATCCAAACCATTAAAACCAGGATAGCCTCTGCTGAGCTCTTGAAACCCCTTGATTATATCTTCACTCATAAGTATATTAGGGATGAGTATGTCGTCATCATTCTCAGAGTCCTCCTCCATTTCATCGTATCCGTTGTTGTTGTTGTTGTTTTGGGGGGGTTGACTTTGAGTGTTGTCGTGAGGTACACTTTCGCCTTCCATCAATGGGGTTGATGGAGAGAAACTTGAGGCAGCAGAGACTGGTGACGACGACGAACACGAGGGGTTGGGCACGATGGCGGCGGACGGTGGTGGTGCTTCGCCGGAAATGGGTTTGCGAAGTTTATTTGAGAGCTTGTTGCGGGTAGTTCCGGCCAGAGAATTCCGCTGAGTTGGACGAGGGTGGGTGTGTTCACCGCTGTAATAGACCACGTAAATGTTCGGATCCGAGGGGCTTTTCTCCACTTGCTTCCTCGCTGCACAACCTTTCGACGTGCTGCATCTGTAGTAGTTCCTGCGCTCATATATATACATATATATATATATATATATATATATAGATTTTTCCAGGAAAATTAGGGAAGAAAAGAAAAAGAAAAAGGAAAAAAAAAATATGACAACATGGGAAATGATGAGTAAAGTGATCCGGGGATACAAAAACCTCGGATTTGGGGTGCCTTTGATGGGTTTCTGACCGTACTTCCTCCACGCCCACGAATCTGCCAACAGTTCCTCACGAGTCATCTGACGCACTAACTTTGTCTGGTGATTCTTCCTGTAAAAAAAGATCGAGAATTAGGAAATCTAAAACGTGAGTGCGTTCTGTAAAATTCTACTATGTTTACCTTTTTCGATATCGACCACCGGTTTGAGAAGAGGAACCGGTGAGAGAGTTGTTGTTGAAGAGGGGCTGCATTAGTTGCTGCTGTTGTGGTATCTGCGGCAGTGGTGGTGGTGGTGGTGGTGGAGGAAGTAGTTGAGGCTGTTGATTTACGAGTCCTCCGAAAAAGGGGACCGCGTAGGTGGGGTTGATTGGCGGCGGCGGCGGCGGCGGCGGCTGAGAATTAAAATCCTTGTAAATTTCTTCCAAACCTTGAAATTGGAAGCTTGGTTGGTGAGCAAGAGGAGGATAGTCAAATGGGGGATCATTGTTTTGGAAGCTAAGAGAAGAGAAATCTGGTAAAGGGTTTTCTATGGTGGTGTTGTTGAATTGGGTGGTGTTAATGGCGGCGGTTGTGGGGCGCTTCACCACCGCACGCAGATCCCATTCGTCAGCCATTTCAGCGGTCTTAAAAAGTTAAAAAGGGAGGGGGGTTGTGGGGGACTGCCTCGAACCTCGCGATAATCTCACCAACCCCACTCACTCATTCACTTACTCACTCACTGTTATGCCTCACAATCTCTCTGCCACTGTTTCTCCGATGTCCCCATTTATATTGGGCTCACATCACAAAAAGACATAGAGAGAGGGAGAGAGAGGGAGGGGCCCAGGAGGGCGCTGACTTAGGCGTTCAGAGAGATTTAGAGAGAGGAGAGAGAGGAGAGGGGTGGAGCACTGACCCGAATTTCTTAATTATTTATAGAAGGAACAGAACATGTCCACTGTGTGTAGTGAGGGAAAAGCAAGTGGTGTTCAATGCACTGTGATATTAGATAGGGGTGAGTAGTGGATATATTGATCTGTTAAAATCGATTAAATCGAATTAATGTGTCGCATTTTGGACGGATGTGTGATGTTAAGCGGACGGTTACGGATTGATTTTCTCTAATCTGTCAATTTGGCGGACGGATGGCGAATTTGAGATTTTTTTGGCCGCAACCGAACCGCCAAACCGTTGGTACCCTTAGTAATTTATAAGATTTCGTATTTTCAATTTGTTTGAATATTTTGTTTGTGTTTTCAATTGAAAAGAGTTCAAATATTCTGTTGAAATTTTTTTTTAACTTGAATATATTTTTTGAATTGAAAAAAATAAACATATTATTTATTTATATTTTTTGGTTTTTAAATCTAATTCTAAAAGTAATAAATAGAAAATATAATATATGCTGGTTGGTTTTTGTTTTCAAAAACATATATAAATGTAACAATACAGAGACATACAATCTCTACTATTGTTTTGTTCTTGATTTTGGTGGTTTGCATTGTTTTTATTTTTTAAAAATCACAAATTGTAATATTTTATGTGGATGAGGCATGTTGTGATTATAATATGTAGATGAGGCATGCAGTGATTGTGATATTCTAAAGTTTCAAACTTTCTTTCTTTGGATGAGACATGCAGTAATTGTAATACTTTTTTAAGTCATTAACTGTAATACTTTCTTCTTCTTCTTCTTCTTCTTCTTTTTTTTTTTTTGAGGAAGTGTGCAAGTTGAATTATATTAAAAATTTATAAAATTTCAAATCGCCAAACCGATTCGCATCCATCCGCCAAACCGTTAATCCGCTCAATCCACATCCGTCGGATTGGCGGACGGATGCGGATTGATTTTCTCTAATCCGCCAATCTGACGGACAGATGACAGATTTGAGGTTTCATGGCCGCAACCGACCCGCGCCCACCCCCTAATATTAGAGCATCAAAATGAGAGAGTTAAAATTATTTGTTAAAATGTGTTATATGACAGAAAGTGATAAAAGTGAGATTCAAAAATGTATTTAAATGTGTTAAGTGTTTGTTAATTTAAAATGTATTTAGGTGTGTTAAGTGTTTGTTAATTTTAGAGAGTAAGTGGTGGTGTAATGGATATGTTAAAGTGTGTGTTAAGGGATTTGTTAAAATAATATATATATATATATATATAGGCTTGGTTTGACATGTTTAAAAAAAGTCAAAAAATTACTATCATATTTAAGTTACATCATCTTATTTAAGTTACATCACCTCTCTAACACATCACTTCAAACCCAATCCAAACCCAAACTCAACGCATATTTCATAAAAAGTCAAAAAGTGCACTTATTTAGATCATCTCAAACAGCCTCATAGTATATAAATAGTTAGTGGCAGCTGGTCAACTGGCCAGACCCAATTTTATTTTATTTTTTACTTGAAGGGTTCGGACGACTGAGGGATGACTAGCCGGACGACCTCATGGCACTTCCCACGTCCTCTCTCTCTCTCGCTGGTTAAAACACTAGCCACAGTTAACACACAAGTTAACAGCACACTAGCATCTGACACTAACACACCACTTACTCCATACCTTATGTAAAATTTAGCCACTGGCACTAACACACCCATTGTGGATGTTCTTAAGATCTCGTTTGGTAATTATATTTTTAATTAAAAAGTCAAAAAGTCATTATAAATTGTCACATTATTTTTTTTAAAATTTTTCTACACATCTTTTTATAAAAAAATCAAAAAATTACTAGAATAGTTTGTTCCCAAATGAAGCCTAAATTTACATAGAGTATTACTATCTAATAATTAAAAAATAATATTATTTTAATTTAAAAATTAAATTTAATAATATGAAAGTCTGTTAAAATGTTAAGAAATTATCTGTTTTACATATAACTGAATAGAGAGTAACGTGTCACAAAGGGTTGCTTTGGGAAGTGGGTTGGCTTTTTGACTTTTTTTCTATTTTAGCCTGGGCTAAAAAAACTTGATTTGAGAAAGATTTTTTTGACTTTTTTGACTATTTTTGTGAGAGAAGAATGTAATAATTATAAGTTGGATCTGATATATATATATATATTTTTTTTGTGACTTGTCTTTTATGACTAAAATAACTAAAAAAACCAATCTAGCTCTTTCCAAATGGAAGTAACTTTTGCAATGAATTCTAGAGACACAAAATAGATTTAAAAAAGTAAATTTTTATATATTTTTTCATAATAGAATAACATAAAAGAGAGCGAATTTCACTATAAAAATATAAAAGAAAATTATAAATCTGCAAAAAGATTTCAAAAAAATTATAAAATCATAGAAAATTTTATCATTTCAATTATTAAAGTGATAAATTTTATCACTGATTTATAATTTTTTTTTTATATCTTTCTACTAATTTGTAATTTTTTTAATATAATATTATCAATTTAACTCAACCCACTTACATAGGCCTCGTTTGGAAAGTGACTATTTTAGTAGGCTATTTTAATTTTTGGCTATTTTAGTAGGCTAAAATTTTTTGTGTTTAGGAAGATGATTAGATTTTTTTGTGGTTGGATGTGATGTTTGTGAGAGAAAAAGTGAAATGATTATGGGTTTAATGTAATATTTTGTCTTATTAGCTATTTTAGTCTATTTTATCTTTTTGTGATTTTTAACCTAAACTAGGTTATTTTTTTTCTTCCCAAACACTAGGGCTGAGCAACAAATCCGTGAAATCCGTAATCCGATCCAGTCCAGTCCAATCCGATAGGTTTGGATTGGTTTTTTGAATCCGCGGTTCGGTTCCAGATTGAAGAATTAAAAATCCGTAGTTCACGGATTGGTTCCGGATTGAATCCCACGGTTCCGAATTGGAACCGATCCGGACCATATACAAATAGTTTATATTTTTATTATACATCCTCCCCTATAGTATCTTCTCTTGTTCTATGTAAAATATAAACTCAAACCTAATACCGTATAATATCTTCTTTTATTACTTTTGTTTGTTAGTTTTAAGTTTTAATTTGCAATGGTCTAAATACTTAAGGTGAAACCAGTTTTCTTATGGTTGTTTAAATTCTAGAACAGTATGTCGTTATTATAGAAAAACATGTTGCTATTATGGAACTAATATAGCGCTATGTTTATATTTTTATGAAATTCAAGTGTTATATATATATTTTTGTTATTTAATTATGTGAATCCGTGGTCCTAAACCGATCCAATCCGTATTCAAATGGATTAGTTCGGATTGGTTCCATGATTTAAACGGATTGGATTGGTTCCAATTTTTCAAGAACCGTAAATAACGGATTGGTCCTGATTTTACCACAATCCGGTCCAATCCGAACCATGCTCACCCCTACCAAACACCCCCATAATATAATATGCATCATAATTACATAATAATTCTCCATTATGTATCAATGATAATTTATGATGATATAATAATTAATTTTTTTATAAAAATAATATATAAATTTAATTTGTAAATTTAATGATGTGTAAATAAGATAATTAGTAGATAATATATATATATATATATATTGGTTTAATGCGGTGGGTTTTGGCGTTTTGGTTTGGCTAGAGAGAGAGAGAGAGAGAGTACAAAAATAAAAATAAAAATAGCGTGTGCTTTTAGGATTGACTTCATAGAAATGTCAAAAGGATGGCCAATGTATGCAATGTGGGCAATTTACAATAAATCCCATTTATAATACATCTATCCTTTCCATAGTTTCAATGTCTTTAGACAAATGAGGGGAGGAGTCACACGCGCTCACTTGTACTGGTGGCGTCGGAATGGGAATTGCAGCCCATTGTCATTGTCAAGCTGTGAAGAAGAAAAAAAGGATTATGTAAGCCTCCGTTGCGGAAGTGGGTTGACTTTTTGATTTTTTTAACTATATGAGCCTGAGTTTAAAAGCTTAGTTTGGGAAGGGCTTTTGACTTTTTGACTTTTTTTATTTTTTTGTGAGAGAAGAGTGTAATGATTATGGGGTTGGATGGGATGTTTTGTCTGTTGTGGCTCATGAGCCTATTCTGTCTTTTATGACTCATTGAGCCAAAAAAGCCCAATGAGCCCTTGCCAAACCAACCCGTAGTGTCATCACAATCCTGTGGGTCCTGACTTTGGGGCAATCGATTGTCAGTTAAGAATTAGGCCTCGTTTGGCAACCTTCCCTTTTAGTTAAAAAGTCAAAAAGTTACTATATTAGCCAAAAAGTCAATAACTCATACCCAAAAGTCAAAGATTCTCTTTTCTCTCTACTTTTTGCACATCTTTTCGTAAAAAATCAAAAAGTCATCCCAAATATACTAGTTTTTTTTAACTCATATTTTAGCCAAATAGCCAAAAAGTTACTAAATTAGCCTGTTCCAAACGAGGCCTTAATCTTCACCAAGTAAGGGACCCACCATTAGGGCATCAATAGAGCGCAATCACACACCTCAACAGACGACATGCTGTCGAGAGGAGTACAGGGTATGTTCTCTGAAGAGATTGCAAACACCTCATCCTAGGAATCGATCCTGGCTCAGTGCTGGGAAATGCACTACATTCTCCACCAGGCCACCAACCCTGGTGGTACTGTCATTGTTAAGCTCGTTCGCGATGTTTGAAAAATGCTTAATAAAAAAAAATGAAATAATTATAATTGAAAGTAACATTTTACTTTATTAATTTTTTTAATTTATTTTATCTTTTATTAACTATGTTAGTCTAAAACTAATATGTCAAGCATAATGTAAAATCTTCAACCTATTTTTAACGGTACGGAATTAATTCACTCTTTATTTCGTATCTTTCTTGTCTTCATCTCATTCTACTCCTCTTTTTTATTTTATTAGAAGTCAAAATATAGATGATATATTAATAGATATAATTACACTCCTTAAGTTTTTGGTTAAATAATTTTTAAAAAAATATTAAAAGCTATTAAATTATTTTTTTTATTTTCTTTTATATATATATATATATATTGTAAAAAACTTA